ATCCCCCACTTACTGACCAACGGCTTCGGACGGATGAGTTGGTAAGTGGTAGGGCACTCTTTTGTCCTTGGGCTGAGAAATCGACCCTAAAGGCGGATGAGCCAAGTATACGGTCAACGGCATAAGGATGCAGAAGGCAAGGGGAAACCACTGCATTAAAGGTTCAAAAGAACATCCTTAGTAAGTCAACATGGCTAGTAAAGACCTACTCAAAAATGTTACTGATCATGGAATACGGATACCAAGATCCGGCAGGAGAGGGCAATCGCAAGACTATGGGGCCTCTCCGGTCGTCAACATGCAAAATCCCTGTAAAAACATGAACAAGTCGAACAAAACTAGACTAGGTATTAGAGTTGGGACATGGAATGTTAGAAGTCTGTTTATGGCTGGAAAACTAGACAATGCCATCTTAGAAATGGAACGTTTGAATGTAAATGTATTAGGAATTAGCGATGTGAGATGGCAAGGAACAGGTAAATGTATAACAAACAACGGAATGCTATACTACTCAGGAAACGATGACCCATCACATTTGTATGGCGTAGGAATTCTCGTTGATTACAAAATTAATAGAACAGTAATAAGCTTTACTCCAATATCAGACAGAGTCGCGATTCTGAAACTTAATTCAAAGACTGTTCCAATAAACATAGTACAGGTGTATGCTCCAACAGCCGACAAAGATGAGGAGGAAATTGAAATATTCTATAATCAACTCAATGCCGCTCTAAAATTGACAAAAAAATGTGAGATAACAATCATCCTAGGGGATTTTAACGCCAAAATTGGTAAAGGAGCAGTGGCACCATGGATTGGTGAGTTTGGATTGGGCGTTAGAAATGAACGTGGAGATAGACTCTTAGAATTTTGCCAAAATGAAGATCTGGTTATAGTAAATACCTTATTTGATCTACCTAAACGTAGACTATACACGTGGAAATCACCAGCAGACCGAGAATCACACATCGTCAGAAACCAAATAGACTTTGTCTTGATCAGAAATAGGTTTAAAAATTCAATAAAATCAGCAAAAACTTATCCAGGTGCCGATATATACTCGGATCACGTCCCTATTATTGTCGAAATGGAAGCAAAATTAAAAAAGTTAAAAAACAAAAAGATTAGAAAAGAATTCGATGTGACAAGATTAAAAGATACTCAGATAGAACAAAGAGTTAGACAGAAAATCAATGATAATCTTAAACCCATCAAGTCAAAAAACACCAACTCTAAAGACGTAAATGAAAATTGAGAGAGAGGTTCAACAAGCTTTAAAAGAAGCGGGAGAAGAAATACGTGGACCAATACCAAAGAAAAGACATATGTGGATGACAGACGAAATACTAACTCTCATGAATGAAAGAAGAAAATATAAAAACATAAACACTAGCAAATACAAATCCTTAAACAGCAGGATTAGAAAAGACATAATAACAGCAAAAGAAAGATGGCTAACTGAACAGTGTCACGAAATAGAAGAATATGAAAAGAAAAATGTCACGAAAAAATAAGAATTGCCATGTTGATATCCAACCTTCGTTAGAAGATGGAACCTTAAGAAGAAGAATAGTAGCAGGTAGAGACGGCATACCCGGCATACAGTCAATTGGACATTTGGTTTAAATAACGGATTGTGTCACTCCACTTTTCAGGGAGGAGATTAAATAGGATCATGGATGTGAAGTGGATTAGGGATTTTATGTGCGAATATAGGTCGTATGAGGGGATTTGCTTGAAAGTGTGTACGGATTGTGTTTGTTTTGTGTCTTTTGGTTGGATTCGTCTGTGTGAACATTTTTGTGAGAATGCCGGGTGGCCTCCATTACAGTTCGGACATTTGGGAACACCTATCATGGGTTAATTGATAATTGATGCAAAGCAGTCCCTGCATCAAAGAGAAATACATAAAAAAGTGATCCAACAAGTCAATTCAAATCTAACAGAGGTAATGTATGTAATGTAATAACAGAGAAAATGTCAATCAAAAGTGGAGCAATATTCAGAAGGCATTCCTAAAGCTGCAAAAGAAAATTTAAAGCCCAAAAGACAAATAAAAAACAAAAGTAGATGACTTCAGAAATTTTAGCATTAATGGAAGGGAGGAGAAAAGCCAAAGGGAGAAATGAGCCAAAATATCAAGAACTACAATATAGAATTAAAGTAGAGATAAAAAAGGCCAAGGAAAAGTGGTTAACAGATCAATGCATAGAAATAAAAGAGTATGACAGAAAATACGACAGCTTTAATATGCATAAAAAAATAAAGAACTAACAAATACCAAAAAGCGAGCACACTATGGGATACTCAAAGATGATAATGGTAAACTCATTGCAGACATCAAAGATAAACTAAGATTTTGGCAAGAATACATAATGAAACTATTCGACGATGATAGAATGATACAAGAAGAACCACAGGAACAAACAGGACCGAAAATAATAATGTGCGAATTAGAACAGGCAATTAGAAATGCAAAGACCGCAAAATCAGTAGGCCCAGATCAGATACCCACTGAGCTAATTAAATGCATTGACGAAGAAACACTGCATATACTTTTAGATCTGTTCAACAAAGTATATACAACAGGAGTAATACCCGAAGATTGGTTGCTGTCCACGTTTGTAACACTACCAAAGTCAGTACATGCGACAGAATGCTCCCAGTACAGAACAATTTCCTTAATAAGCCACACACTTAAGATATTTCTTAAAATAATACATGGAAGACTATACAAAAAAATAGAAGAAGATATAGATGACACCCAGTTTGGATTCAGAGGAGGACTAGGAACGAGAGAGGCTCTGTTCGCTTTTAACGTTCTCGCGCAAAGACGACTAGATATAAACCAGGATCTCTATGTCTGCTTTATAGATTATCAAAAGGCTTTTGATAGAGTACGACATCAGAAACTCGTAAAACTGTTAAAAGAAAAGAATGTGGATAGTCGAGATATACGGGTTATTGTCAATCTGTACTGGAATCAAAAAGCAAAGGTTAGAATCGAAAATGTCGATACAGAAACTATAGAAATCAAAAGAGGTGTTAGACAGGGTTACGTGCTGTCTCCATTGTTATTCAATCGTACAGCGAAGCTATTTTTAAGGAAGCAATATCAGAGGAACAACAGGTATATCAATAAACGGAAAAATCTTGAACAACATAAGATTCGCAGACGACACCGCTGTTTTTGCAGACAGTCTAGAAGCACTGCAACGCTTAGTAAATAGATTACATCAAGTCAGTATAAAATATGGACTACAAATGAACGTTAAGAAAACCAAGTGCATGATTATTTCTAAGCAACATACAGTAGGAAGGCTAGATATCGATGAAAAACAACTAGAAAGAGTGAATAACTACAAATATGCCTGGGAACCTGGGTAAATGAAAACAATGACCAAGGTACGAGAAATAAGGACACACATTGAAATTGCAAGTCAAGCATTTATAAAAATGAAAACAATGTTTGTTAATAGAGACCTTCCTCTGGAGCTGAGATAAGAGCTTAAGCTACGTGTTCTCGACTTTGTTGTATAGAATGGAAAGATGGACACTAAAAGTAGATAATATAAAGAAGTTGGAATCATTTGAGATGTCGTGCTATAAAAGAATTTTAAAAATACCATGGACTCAACGAGTTGCAAATGCAGAAGGCTAACAAAAGGATTGCGAGGTCATAAAGCACATCAAAACAAGAAAGCTGAAATATTTAGGCCACATTACCAGAGGTGCGAAATATGAGATATTAAGGCTCATAATGCAAGGTAAAATCAAGGTAAAAGATCCATAGGAAGACGAAGAATTTCCTGGCTAAGAAACCTAAGAGAGTGGTATAGTTGCAGCTCAGTAGATCTTTTTAGAGCAGCCGCCAATAAGGTACGGATAGCTGTGATGATAGCCAACCTCCGATAGGAGAAGGAACTACAAGAAGAAGAAAAAGAAGTGTCTGCATCTCTGTTTATTGGGTCGGATTTATGGACCACATGACCTTCCCATTGGTCATTTAGGTCACGTGGTCGATAAACCTGGCAAACTAGATGCAAGGAATGTTTGGCGACAGCTTGCTCTGTCTTACTGGGAGACCGGGCCAGTATTGCAACGATCAGTCTATCGTGTATTATATGTCTATTCGTTTAATTATTGAATATTATATTGAGGTTATTATTTATTTTACCTTTCGTTATTTATCAGTTCCATGATGGATTCATACAAAATCTGATCTGTCATAGTTGTTCTGTCAATTTCTATACCCAATCCTCTGTTAACGATTTTTTGAGAATTCATTTTTTGATCGCTAACAAACGGTATGGCCAAAAGGGGTACTTCTGCAAGTATGGATTCTTCCATGGATTGAGCTCCACATTGGGTTATAAATAACTTTACATTTTTATGTTCTATAAAATTTATAAATATAGAATAAAATTGTTTGTGTCCTTATTTTAAAAAATTAAAAACAATTCATCTGTGTATTCATATGTCATTGCTTATAGTGTATTTTTATGTATGAGAGAGTAATAAAACAATAAATTATGTATGCAAATCCCTAAACTGTTGATACGGGTGACTCAATGAAAAACAGATATTTGTCAACAAGTTTACAGAAGTATATAGGAAAACAATTTTAAATTGAGTATGACCACCAGGTATAAAGGTTGGAGCAGAATAGAATACAATAGTTGTGAGGGTTACTAATCCCAAATAAGGTTGCCAGTGTCGGAGTGATGGAGGTTAACAGGTACTAATGAATTTGCAAGAAATGTAAGATGTTTATTTTATTGGTTATATATAACCAATAAAAGTTTAATAAGTACCTACCTATTTGCAAAATAAAGTTTAATTCTTTAGATAAAATAAAACGTTTTATTTTATCTGAAATGAGTGCATTCCACGAAGTAAGGGTTTCAACAATCAAACATTTAATTCTTTAATTCCAGGAATCTACGACAGTAATTGACTAGATAATTACCTTCTAAACTTATTCCACAGAAAATGTGATAGTGGGTTTTTCCATTTTGTAGGAAGGTCCAAGTGGCGTATTCAAAATTCTTAACAGTTCACTAAAAGTAGGTACTTCAGTTGCAAGGTGCAGTTTATTGTGTATACTAGTGTTATGGAAAATTTGGAAGTGCCGTGTAAACGCCGAAAAATTGGTCCTTTAACAGTTAATGAAAAAACATTAATATTTAATTGTTTTAAATCATTTACAGACAAACGTTTATGTGAAAGTGTTGATGAGACCGTTGAGTTAGTTAGCAGTACACTTGGTGTTGGGAAATCTACGATTTACAGAGTTATTAAAGAAGAGAAATGTGGTAGTTTTCAAATGCCACGTAATGCTCCAGGGAAACCAAAATTTCAAATAGAATATCATTTTAAAGAAGGACTTCGACGGAAAGTGCATGAATTCTTCTTTAGACAAGAATTTCCAACATTGGATAAAGTTCTTGTCTCAGTTCGAGATGATAAGGATTACCCAGAAATGAGTCGAAGTACGTTATGGAAACTTTTAAAAGAAATAGGCTTCCGCTGGAAAAAGAATCCCAGAAAGTCTATTTTATTAGAAAGAAGCGATATTGTCATATGGAGAAGACATTTTCTAAGAACCATAAAGGAAATGAGAAACCAAAAAAGAAAAATATTTTATCTTGATGAAACATGGATCAACGAGGGTCATACACCAAATAAATTTTGGCAGGATGAAACTGTTACAAGTCAAAGGCACGCTTTTGTAAATAACTTATCTACTGGTTTAAACCCACCATCAGGAAAGGGACGCAGGCTGATAATAGTACACATTGGCAGTTCAGACGGTTTTGTTGAAGGTGGTTTATTAACTTTTGAATCAACTCGTACCGGTGACTACCATGAAGACATGAACGCTGATGTCTTTCAAGAATGGTTCGAACAAATGATAGATCTTCTTCCTAAGAACTGTGTAATAGTAATGGATAATGCAAGTTATCACTCCAGACTTATAGAAGGACTGCCCACAACCAAGTGGTTAAAAAAAGACTTGCAGAATTGGCTGAGTTCAAAAAATATTACGTACCATCCCGGATCTATAAGAAAGGAACTTTATTCGTTGTGTGCCCTTCATAAAGAAAAATTTAAAAAATACGAAATTGATGAAATTGCCAAAAATCGTGGAATGACAGTACTTAGATCCCCACCATATCATTGTGAATTAAACCCGATTGAACTGGTATGGGCACAGATAAAGAGTGAAGTTTCAAGAAAAAATACCACTTTTAAAATTCATGATGTTAAACAGTTGTTTTTGGAGGCCGTAAATAATGTAAAACCTGAAAACTGGGAAAAGGCAGTAAATCACACTATTAAAGAAGAGGAAAAAATGTGGAAGCTGGACAATATTACTGATAAAATGATCGAGCCAGTTATTATAAATCTTGGTTCTGAAAGTTCATCTTCTGAATCTGATTTGGATTTGTAACAAGTAGCTGTAAGTTTTATATTAATATTTTTATTCATCTATTTAACATACCTTAGACGGTTTTAAAAACTCTTTTTCTCTTTTGTAATTTTTAAAAATTAAAAAAAATGTGAATTTTTTAAAACCCTTTTTAATGTAGGCCAGTCAGTTCTAATATAGTGTGTGATAAAAGAGGTCACTTTTGTTTACATACACATAACACTTTATAACACTGAAATAATTCATTTATTTTTTACAATTATTCAAAGTAATTTTTCAATTAAAGGGCCCGCGTAGCGCAAGCGGTAGTGTGCTTGCCTCGCATGCCGGTGGTCGTGAGTTCGAATCCTACCGCCGGCAAGAACAACTAGGCATTTTTAAAATGTCTATAGGCCCCAGGTCGACTCAGCCTGAATAAAATGAGTACCTTGGGTAAAACCAGGGGTAATAATAGGCGGTTGAAGCGTAGCACTGGCCATGTTACCTTCCTTGTATACCGTAGGCCCTAGATATAGCAGACTACCCTGCTATACTCCCAAAGCCGCGTGCGGTATAAAACGGGAGACTATTATTATTAATTTTTCAATTAATCTTGAGCACGCCCATGGATTGGTCGGAGGTACCAGTTAAAATTATGCTAATTACTCTCTCGTTCATAAAAATAAACTATAGAATAAACTAATAGTAATACTTACTTAAAACATCTTGTTGGGGCACCCATTTAATAATTTTAACATTAGTAGGTATATCTGGGATATCAGCGTCTAATTTCCACAGAATTTTAAAGGGTAGACGTCTGAATACATTCAAAAATGTGTTTAAACTATTCTGTTGAATATTTCTACTCCTTACGTTAGTGCCTAAGCTGAAATATATTAAACCTTCGACCGCTGAATCTAAAAATGTCTTAATATCCTAAAAAGAAATATTATAAATTAAAATACTACAAATAAAATTTTTAGTGCTATTTAGAGATGGAATTCAAAGGATTGCAAAGTAATGCAAATTATAAGATGCTCTCTCTAGTTATCCTCTCTATCTCTATCTCTCTATAGTGATTCTCTTAAGTAATGTCTGGTCATCATGGTAGTGGTTAATCTATTTGTTAATAGACAAGTATTTATTCAGTGCAGTAGTAAATTGATTGGTGCAAGGTTAGTTTATCAAGGTTTGCCGCAGGGGTCTGTGCTTATCCCTAGGTTGTTTAATCTATGTACTATGGATCTATATGGTATGGGTATTAATTGCCGTATTTTACAATACGCCGATGATTTCTGTCTTTGCACTACTACTAAAAATTCTTATCAGGAATACATTGATTCACGTTAAGTACGGATTATGTACAGTGCAAGAGAATACTTAACCTTACTCTTAACCAAGGGTTGGAACTTACTTCGAATAAATCCGCTGTGGTGGTGTTTACTCTTCATCGCGTATCGAATATATCCAGTATAAGAAATGATAATCTAAGTATACCTATCCAAAAAGACTATACTTATCTCGGCGTCACACTTGATACCGAATTAACATGGGAAGAACATATTCATAACTGTTATGAATATGAATAATTAAATGTGAAAAAAACCTAAATGTTTTAAAGGTAGTTAACCGTTACCAATGGAGCGCTGATCCTAAGGTTATCCTAATGTTTTATAGGGCATATACCAGGTAAATTATTGGCTATAGTTGCTTTTTATATGGGTCTGCTACAAATACTAGACTTAAATTAGACCGAATCCAGTACAATGCTATGCGTTTGGTTTAAGGTGCACTTTAATCTTCACATACTGAAAATCTATTAGCTGAATATATGGAACCTCCCTTACATTTAAGACGTCTTTTTTAGCTAAAAAGTTTATCCTTAAACGCCAAGGTAATAACCAAACCTACCTATTGCAAAAAATATCCGACATATCTGTGTCTAACTTAGTTGACAAATGATGGCATAACAAAAATTCTCCAACTTTAGCTATAGCATTTTCTAATGTTTCTTTCCATTTGGAAATCCCAGCTGAAACTAATTTCTTCCAATCTAATTTCAATATTCTTTATTCCCAAACCAACGATTATTTCCCTACTTTTGATGATACCTTCAGAAACAACTTGCCAAATTTGATAAGCCATATAGGATTTTCACAGATGGGTCAAAATCCATTTTAGGAGTTGGTTGTGCGGTAAATATCCAAAACAATCAAAAACACATTATGTTTAAATTAAACCAAACCAATGTTTGTTAGATGCCTTGTTAATCATGCTACTGTGAAAGCCTATCTTCATAGAAGATCTATCTTCATAGATTTAATTTAAGTGAAATAGAACTCTGCGATTGTAATGAAAACTGACGATATCAATCACTGGATATTCGGGTGCAGATATAATGATGCTGCTATTAAGTATCTATGGGAAAATCTGATAAAAGAACAGATATCTCTTCCTCAGAGTCAATCTTCTATTTTATTTATCTCTCGTCGTAATATTAGGCTTAACCAAATTTTTTGGGGAAATTTAAAAAGGACTAAAGGACAAATTTAGAATGGAATGTGTAATGTGAATGTATAAATCTAGCTTTGTTCCCTCTATCTATCCTTGTGTTATATACTCACTTCCTAGCCGTTCCCTATATTATTTAATCCCTTGTTGGTACTAAATATTCACTTTAAGTTGGTTAGAGCCCTGAATGTAACGAATGAAAGTATGATTTCTTATCAATCTAATGATTCTTTTGATTTTTTTTAATTTACCTCTAGACGAAGTACTACTTTGTTAACAAATGCAATAGGTCAATACATCATTAACAAATTCAAGTAGTCAAGCACATTAACGTGGCTGAATAGATCAAGTTATCCAAAGCTATTAATTAAGTAAAAAAAGCTGTTGTCTAGCCTCTGTCTGAAGACGATAAATAATTCGAATATATGCGTGTACTAAGTTTGTTAAAGTCTTAAGATATTGTTAAAAAACAAAATTAAAAACAATACACATACCTTTGGTAACTCATTCTTCTGGCTTACATGTAAACCACCTCCTATTCTAATAAATCCAGGACCCATGGGTTTGGAACTAAAAACATGATGAGAATTTACAAGCACTACACTTACATTTCTAACAATTTCCTTCAATGGTGGTAATGGTCCAAAATGTTTCTTCAGCAAGGCGTCATCCATTCTGTCCCAACTAGACTGTTTATAAAAACTGTTATAGAGCCAATACAAGGTACTAGACAGTCTTTGTTCAAAATTAAGATTAATCTCGTAAGGGGCCATTAGTTCTGGATATAGGACGGGATTTAGCATGTTCCCTAATACCTGGTGGTAATAGTTATCAACTTCGGTAGAAAATATCGTAATAAACGGACATTTGAATCTCTCCGAAAATGCTGTCAGTGTCGCTGGTAAATACTCTGTTATGACTAGATCGAAATGTTCATTTTTATTACGTATTAAAATTTGAACCTCTGGAGATGACAATTCCTTATCGACAATATCATGAAACATGCTCTGAAAACTGTTCATTAATGTAAATATATTAAAATTACAGTCTCTCATTTTTTTTGCTAGGTCGTACTTATTATGTCTAATGTCGTACGCAAAGTGCAAATTTATTTGTTTGATATTGGTTGGAACTTCTGCCATGGGATCTGTGGTAAGGAGAACTATGTCGTGACCTCTTTTTGCGAGTTCTAACCATATAGGTCTGTAGAAGAGTTGGTGGCTATATGACGGATTACCAATAACCGCTAAAATTCGAGCACCACTTGTAATTTGCATCAAAAACCAGAGAAGAAAAATGCGTAACATGTTTTCTTAACTACTATTGTTGAGATATCGACAATAGTGCAAATTGCATTATAACTGTGCACTTTGTTATTGCTTAGTATCAATTAGTGATAAAATGTTAATTATAGTGTAAACACTATAGAACGTCCATGGTATTGACACAATTTTATTTAAGATTCAGATATTATCAACCATGAATTTGTTTAAGGCCTATCCTCGATAATCCTAACGGTAAAATTCAGTGAGCTATCTATTTCAAAAATATCTTTCTTTACGAAAACAAAATCCATTCACGAAGAATATTCTAAAAGTCATCTGGTACTAAATTTTATATTTTTACCTACTTACAATCCCCTATTGTGAAGTCTTGGGTGTATACAATAAAGCGAGCGGGAGGTCTTCTATTCATTGCGATTATGGGGTAATTAGAATAATACGAGTAAACCAGAGTAATATTATTTATTGAATAATTAATTTACAACTTAGCAAGGGTACATACAGGTAACAAATAATCGTCCTGTAAATAATTCATAAATTAAATCACAAACTTTTATAAAATTTTATAACAAAATAATGTATAACAAGATATAAGTGTATTGGTTTTTTTATGTCTTATATTTTCTTTTGTTATTGTTTTTTTGCTGACAAATTGGCTTTTAACGTATATTACAGTTTGATGATAAATATTCTGAAATGGAAAATGTTGAGATGTGGCGAATAAAATCATTCATGAAATTAAAATGAAGGGATTTACGTCTATTAGTGGTGCGATTTATAAAATTAGTAGCTCAAATCGCGGGAGGAATATATGCATTAGTTTTCAAATATTTATTATTTACGATATAATTTCTAAATTGAACCACTTTCACTTCTTTAGGTAACAATGTATCTGTCTTGACAACTAAATAGGTAATTAGACAAAATAACGATTATTATTAATTTCAAAACGGGAGTTTAAAGAATTAGAAGAAGGTAGTCCGGGCCCAGTTAAACAATCAAGTTTATTCCAGTGGAAGCAATCAGGAGGATTGTTTTTCGTTTTGGCTCAGCTGACATGCTCTCTCTAGAACTAGAACCCATGAAACTATGGTAAAAAGCATGCTTTTATTTACACGGTTGTGAAACGAGACGATTAACAGAGACATCGAAGAAAGATATGTCGCTGAAATGGATGCAATAAAGTATGAGAATAGAAGGTACAGTCATGGATGGCATACAATGAAGGCATCTCAAATGGTACGGACATGTCCAATGAATGAAAGACAGTAGACTCCCGAAACAAGTACATCTATGAACAACTACAGGAATCCAGAAGAAAGGACTACCGTAGAAAACACGGATGGAACGAATAAAAAACTCAATGCGCTCGAAAGTACTTAAAGAACAATGGAACAACCGAATTCAATGAAAAATGGACGTCGGAAGACGTTTTATACGGATTATATCATATTACGAGTATAGGTACATTGTTATTATATCATATTATATCTATTTATATAATACATTATATACACGATATTGAAGGAGGTTACAACATAGACAATCAACAAAATCTACATTGTCAACTACATAGTGAAGACCCAACAATAATAGAAGTGTCAAATGCCGTCTTAAAACATAAAGTAAATAAAGCCACAGGAATCGATTAAATCTGCTGGGAAATGTATGAAAAGGTGATGATCAACTTTTTGCAGTAATCCATAAACTAATAGTACTTATATGGCAGAATGAATTGGTACCAGAAGAGTGGCTAAATGAAATAATATGCGTTGCATAAAGGGCTATCAGCTGGATTGTAAGAACTATAGAGGCATTACTCTGTTAGCATCTGCGTATAAAATCTTCGGCAATGTATTGTTTGAAAGACAAACATTTTACAAAGGATATTGTTGATTTACTGCTGCATAATCAACTATACATCAAATTCAAACACATGGGCAGATTCTAGAAAAGTCACTAGAATATAACATAGATACACGTTATGACAGCCTATGACAGTGTTAAGCAATGATAGACTTTGGTTGGGATCCCACCGAAGTTAGTTAAGTTGACCCAACTAACAATGTAAAACGTGAGTTCGTGCGTTAGAATTGAAGGAGAAAACTCCATGTGCTTTGACGTTAATGATGGTATAAGACAGGGGGAGGCGCTGGCTTGTCTCTTCTTTAATGTTGCCTTGGAAAAGGCAACCAGAAAATACAATATTATAATGAATGTAACTATTTTTAATAGAACCATAAGAGACATGGTGCAGTGTTTTACAAGGCTTGCGGACGCGGCAAGTGAATTAGGACTTGTGGTCCTAATTAGAAATGGTAAATGAGGAAAAACCAAATATAGGTTGGTTTTCCAACAGATAATTCAAATTAACAACCATACCTTTGAGCAAGTCAAAGAATTCACTTATCTTGGATCGCTAGTAAACGCAACAAACACGACAAGCAACGAAATAAAACGACGCATAGCAATAGAAAACAGAACTGTTCACGGTCTCCAGAAACATTTAAAAAATAAAAATATAAAACGTGCAGTAAAGCTCGATATATACAAGAACTTTTTGATAAGACCGATTTTGATATATGGGGCTAAAACGCGGATCTTATCTCAAAATGATGAAAGACTTCTTGGTATTTTTGAGAGAAAAATTCTTAGAAAGATTTTTGAGGTCGTAAATGAAAATGGAGTATAGCGTCTCAGAGACTTAGATGGGCTGGACACATTACTAGGATGTCAGATCACGAATACATGAAGAGATTAACATTTTCAAAACCAGAGGGCAGAAGAAGTTAAAAATGACCACGAAGAAGATGGATTGATAATGTGTCAGAAGCGGATTCTAAGGGTCAGAAGATGAAGGGAAGTTGCCAGGAATCAACAGGAGTGGCGATTTCTGTGCGAGCAGGCCAAGACGGATTGTCTAGGCATTTATGATGATGGTTGATGATGATATATACATGGTTAAATACCGAAACCTCGTAAGTCAAAATCTACAACTTTTCAGTAGAGCGAAAAAAACGTCACTGCTTAGTACACGTGTTTTCTTTTTCTACTTTCTTTTCTGATGTAATAATTCGATAAATTTATTTCTGTTGTAATAATTAAGTAAGTATTGAGAAAAAAAATATGTACCAAGCGGCGAAGTTTTTTCGCTCTCCTGAAAAGTTGTAGATTTTGACTTTTGACATTTCGGTATTTAACACACGATATATTGAAAATCAACTTCATATTGAAAAGTTTATTTCCTCTTTCAAGAAATTCTACAATGCGAAAGAAGATTGAATGCAGAGAAGAAAATATTAAAAGTAGAAAAAAATTTAAATCTCTTGCATTACATTAAATCATTAAAAAACGGCTCCGAACTTTAGACAGGAAACAGGTAGGTTTTGTTCTTATATGTCTACAATAACTAAAATAGTTGTCAGCTACCTGGATTATTGATTGTCACGAGAAAATCCTTATTACTCTGGACTAATATGACTGGACAAGCAAGTGACGAAATATATTATGTAAACTTTACTAACAAAAACGTTCAAAATAAATAGTCCAATAAATATAATTAATCAAATTCCATATTCAAATACTGCAAACTATTTGGGTATTACTCTGAGCTCATGTAAAGAAGAAAAGAAAATAATAATTCTGATTGAAATACAAAAAAATGTACTGACCGATTGACCAAAATTCTACTCTGTTTCTACATAATAAATTATAATTATATAAGTAAATATTGAAACAATAGTATTATTATAAAAACAGTATAAGCATTTAGAAGGAAAATGTCACAACTCAACAGAAAATATTTCTATTCATATAAAAATTTAATCAAATTATAGGTACTTACTGCTTATTTATATAAAATTTCCTCAATCGTCGTCGACTTTTTCGTCCGGAGCATAAACGTCTTCGCGAACTACCCATTTTAAAAACAACAAAACACACTGGTTTGTCAAAACTAGTCAAAAGTCGAAATAAGCCCTAATAATGTTATTCAACATTATTTATGACCCTCCAACTTTCTTACCTACTCGTCGGCGAGAGTCTACAAACTATCAACAAGGACAGCTTGTACTGACCGAGAGAGAGAGTACATTTAGCACAATTTAACATTTTTTAAATAGTTTATATGAAATAGCTGCTTTGTCTTACACTTTATGTTAAAAATAAAAACAGATTCGGAAAGTGGGTAAAATTCTGTAGTGCCCTATTTCAAAAAAAAAATTTTTACGTTTATTTTAACCAAAAATATTTAAAAAAAAAATATTGTTTAAACAATTTATTAATTTACAATCAAATAGTGCACTAGAACTTTTTAAGACCTTTCATATAAAAAAAGAATCATCTCAATATCTGCCATAGTTTTTGCGTTATTTGATATAAACTTTTACATTGGAATTTAGTTATGCCCAGAATCGCGAGGAATGGCCTTAAGTAAGAAGCTGATGTACAGGATGTATATGTATAACTTTACATCTAGTTGGCTACTCTTAACCCCTTGAGGAGCAAAAGTATTCATGCAAAAATGACCTAGTGGAGCAACAATATTTTTATTTACAAATTGATAAAAAACACAAAGGGATTAATTATCTACTATTAATACACAATCAAATGCAGTGGCGGATCGAAGTGGGGTCACGGTGGTCATGACCCCCTCCCCAAACAAAATAAATATCAATCAAATAATCCTAAAAAAAATAATTTAAAACCCATCAACCCTATAAGCAGGAAGTCAAGAGTTGAAATGATTCAAACTCATTAATTCTAGGTGTAAGTGTAGAATTTTGCCTAAGCCTTTTTACAACAATTCTGAATACAGTAATACCTCGACTAACGCTACCCAGACTTCAGCGAATTCAGAGTTACGCGATTTTCATATTTTGTCTTTTGATGAGATAGAATTACCGACCACACATTATTGTTCATTCAATGTACATGACATGACTTTTCGCACGAAATCAGCACATTTTTATTTTGTATTAGGTATTTCTTATCTTCAGTTTTGTCTACGAATTGGTTGTTTGTAATTTGAATATGAATTATAATTGTTGAGACTGTGTGGTACAT